CAGGATTGATTAAAAGTGACTGGGTCCATTAATACTTTGATACAATGTATCTGTCGCCGGTGACACGGCAGGATGCGTGTTAACAGGGAGGATCATATTTAAAACGGTTCCGCTCTGCACCCAGCAAAGGAATTAAACCTGGCTGCTCGGCAAACTCCCGGGCGCATGCGTTCTCTCATTTGCGCTACCGTCTCCCCGGCCTCTCCTCTTCATCTTCCCGTCTCCCCTCATCCACTCCGCCCCTCCTTCTCTCTGTCACTATCCCTCTTCTCCCAGTGATTATAAAGGTCTTTAGATCTAAGGAATGAATGAATTACCAAAGGCAAAGACAAGGCTTGTGATTTGGATGCCGTGCATAAAAAATTACCCCTTTGTTCCCTTCATCAATTGCATGTCTAATGAAATCAAAAGCCCGATCGCATAATCAGAAGAGGGTCCTCTACCCGGAGAGAGACCTGATGTGATTTGTAACCTTTCTTTTCCTAAGTGCAGATTAAGGCAAATCTCCCTCATATTGTTCCCTGATGCACAAATAGATGGAAACTGAGCATCTTGAGGTTGATATTGACGAGTCTGGTCCAAGACGGGGACAGCGAGAGAATAAAATGTTAATGGAAGAAGAAAATCAAATAAAAGACGGCACAGTTTTTCCTAAAAAACCTGGCCTGTTTTTCCACGTTCCTTTGTCTGCCCTGGTGACGGCCGTCCAGCGAACACTCAAGGTCAGAGTCTGTGAGATGAAATAACCTCGCTCCAACGTCCTCTGCTGTGTAAACTCCTACATCTTTCGGAATTTGACTGATTAACCCGTTCAGCGGTGGCAGCACTTTGGCCAGGTTTCACAGTAACCGGTCTGGACAGTGCTAATGGTCCCTGCTGACTGGTCTCTGGCATTGAACCCACTCTCTGCAGCCTCACTGTGGCCTGTGTGGTGGGAAAAAAACACCCACTCCAGAGTGGAGGGATGGACTTCATCTGTCTGGGGATCACTTTGCTAATTATTATTAATTACTCCTGATCCTACGGCCAAAATCCAATTGGTGAATTCCACTCTTTACACCTGCTGGTTTTGCAGCATATGCTGACACTGTGTGCTGGGAGACGGTTTGCTATTTTTAAACGGGTTTGTTTGAGAAACTACAGCCTGATGATCCGAGTATTCTTACACTTAATATGTTGAAAACTAATTGTGGTCAGTGTCGTACTGTCATCAACCCTAGTTTATCAAAGACGACCTGCAGTTAAACCAAAATGTTTCATTCCCTGTTGAATAATTAGCAAATTCCTAGATTTCTCAAAGATAACCATTAAGATATCCTGGTGTTTATGATGAGGCGGATCATTTGCATTGATGACATATATGAAAGTGGATAATGAACCTGTTGGGACACATTCTAATGATTAATCACAAACCTAGCACATAGAAAATTAGCACAGTAATGAAAGACTCGTTGAATTATCACGATAATCATCGTCGCTGCAGACTCTTCTTCTGTCTCCAGTACAACACAAAAATTATAATACTGTGCTACTAATACTCATCTTCACCTATCTGTCCTTCCATGTTCAGCACCAGGAGTCACTATATGAAATACTAAGCAGTACTGCAGTATTGACATTTCAACTGATTACTAAAAACAACCTGCACCTCCTTAATGGCCATATAGGTCTTAATGTCACAAATCAAAATGATCTGCAAATAGAAGTAAATCTATATGTGTCAAAGTTCAAGATAAATTAGACTTAATGTTATGGTGAAGGAAAATTCCTTGAAGTCGGCCATGAATTAAACCAGATCATGTGACCGCACAGTTTGTATAGTTAAACATCACGTGCAGCGGCAGGACTGCGACTGTGTACCTGTGTTTCCTATGCCCAGCTGCAGGTTGCTGCGGTCCTTGGTTAGCCCATTGGTTTTGGGGCTCGCAGTGGGGGCAACTGTGGCCACAGCTCTCGGCGGTCGCTTCCCTGGAACCTTCACTGTGGTCCTCAGCAGGTCAATCTCTTTGCCATGTACGTTCTGCATGTAGTCCTGAATAGAGTAGAGTTGGAGGAACACCATGTCAGAGGTAAGTATTCTGGGCTTCGCAAAAGTCCAAATACTTTCCCCTTTTCAAGAAATGATTATACACAGTGGACTGACATGAAGGCAGGAATCACGGAAGGAAAACAGATTAAAAGACCATTCAATTTCCACCCTCATTAGTCACAACCCCCTTAGCCCCTACACTAAGAGTGTGTGATGGCGGAAAAATTATTTTAAAACCATTATACATCACCTGTGCCCACGCTGTCTCTCCAAATAGCAGGATGTTAGAGTTAATGTATGCAAACAGTCTCATTCCCCTTCGATATGGCCATTTGATTTGGTTTGAAGCGACTACCGCCCAAACGCGAGACGCCGAGGTGAAAATCATTGGGCTCAGCAGAAAAAGACCCAAATTGAGACGAGTTCGGCCTTCGCCGTCCCCCACAAGCGCCTCCGCTTTAGTACTGTGCCATAAAGCACTCATTTCTTTCCCAAGCCTCCTCGCTAATTACCCAGTGAGCGCTCTCATTTCATTTTATTGCTGGAATTAACAGCCAGATCGAAGCGTGCAAAGCTATTAAGATGTGTGATTAAGCCACATTCAATTAGTTTCTACAAACAATTTAATTGATGTAGCAGATAGAATTAACAGAAGGTGATTGTGTGGATGGCTTGGCTGACTGCAAAATTAAAGGTTCCCCTCTTCCACTCTCAGTCTGCCTCACTCTCTCCCTCCCTCCCTTCCTTTCTTCTTCCCCTCAAACTCTCTTCTCACCTTTTTCCCCCTCCCTCTTTCTTACTCCTTCCACACTTCACTGCTCAGAATGAGTTTGAGCTGCTACACCGCTAATGTCATTTGTTCCCTTATTTCACCTCTCTCCAAAAGTCAACAGATACATAGATTCAAAGATTGTCCCCGAAAACCTGCGCCGGCCGTAATGATTAGGAGACGGTGTCTCCAGTCAATTACATCGATCACTGTAGCACAGCACTGCTGCTAATAACTATGTGTAAATTAAACCACTAACAAACTGTCAGTGCAACGAGGCCAAAACCTCTGCATACCGACACTGAAACTGAGACACTGGGCTGTGATCATCATATTTCACACTGGTCCAAACCTCCATGACACTGTATTACAGCACAAAGGGAAGATTCAAAGTAATTTTGGGAGGGAAAGATGGACATTCCAAAGCTCCGGCGCTGTGTGTTGCCAGCTAGCCGAGTGTTTAGGAGGTATTAGCGGCCCAGCGGGACTTTGACAGAGATGAATGTGGGAGGCTGGTCAGGCTCTGCTGCCATGCAGTGAGAACCATTATAAATACAAGCCAGCATGGCGTCTGGGCGCAGCGGGCACACAGCAGCACAGCCATGTCTCCATTACCGAGCGCTGGAGATGGACACCACAGGGAGTCAGAGATGACCACTGGGACACTGGCTTTTTTAATACTAAGCTCGGAGTCACAAGGTTAGTCAACACGGCCCCGGTGCATGTGGACTACGAGGCTATTGTTTGGCGATCCGGTCCAGGACGACGGAGGTCTGAAGTGTAACACCCATCGGTTCCAAATGCCCGACATTAAAACCCCCTCCAGTACAAACAGTGGCGCAACAGACACTGGAAAGCGATGGCGGAGGAAATGTGAAGGCGTGTGGGTGTGACACTCACATGTAAACTGGGGTGGTAAGTGAGGACGCCATTATCACACAGTGTGACATATTTCTTTTTCCACTCCTTGTTGAGGGATTTGCCACTTCGCTTCAGAAGGATTCCCTGTAAGAGACGAGGCATCACGGTGAGCACATGCTCCTCACAGAGCGGCGTGCTGCATGAGATGAGCCATTATGGATGTTAAATACCATCACAAAAAAACACACTGTTATTGTTGTTGTCACACATGTGGTGGTGGTTTGAGGGAGAAAAATAAAAACAATCTGTGGAGGAAGTTGAGGGGGAAAAAAAAACAACAACAATCTAAGTGATAATTGCCAGGCAAGAAAAAGAAAATGAGACAATAAGTAATTTGTAATTAAACGCACTTAAAGGGTCATTCTTTAGTTTATTGTCATTTAGGGATTGGCAAGAGATTTAATCACTAGTTGAAACCATAAAACTGGCCACGTTCCTCTGGTCCTGACACCATTTAGAGAAGGGGGACAATCCAATTTGCCAAACCCCCTCCCCTCATTCATACACATAACACGCTGAACTCTGAGAGACCTTTTAAATCCTGGAATTAGGGAGTGTGATCTCCTCTCTTCAAAGCTCACTTGACTCTTATTATATTCTACTTTATCTTCTGAGGCCTTTCAGATGGTCGCCCTTATCTGTGGAGTTAATCCACTGGTAAACAATGCAGTTCCTCTGCTGGAGGTGACCCAGTGCTGCTGAGTGTACAGGCCAGGAGGCTTTCTGAGGTTAAACAGTGAGGAGGGGCACGCTTAATTAGGGGATTAAGCCTGAGCAATGTTTGTGCTTTTACAGCCACAGAGCCCGTGTGTTTGTGTGTGCGTATGCGTTAGCAATGGCAGTCGGGGGTTAGAGGGCTTGTGTTTTCCTAGCCAGGCCTCCGCTGCAGGCTTTAATCCTGATTAACACATCAGGAACAGTTGACCCTTGGTGACCCAGGCACCAGGCTGTTTGCCGACAATCATCCTAATCTGACACCTCACTCTTTTTCAGGAGGGTTCGGGGGGGTCAAAACAGTTCTGGGGTCTTTGTGTCATTTTCAAAGATCTGTTTGTTTTGGCCGACCACATTTGTATCAACAAAAGTTTCACAAAATCTGAAGAACTCAGTGACTCAGTGTGATCTTCAAGAATTCAACTTTTTTAAAAAAAAATATGTTGTACGTATTAATATCTTAATAAAAAAAATGTTTAGCCCAATTAATAGTGAGTAAAATTGCACTGTGAAATTAAAGGATTTTATATTTTAACTGCACTTTTTAGGAGTATTTTTGGAGATCCGTTTAGTAAAAATTATTTGTTTTCATTCAGTAAATTTATTTTGTGTGAATTACCTATCATAATAAGAAATCTCTGGATAATTCTGACTTTAGAAAGCCTCAGTTAATTCCTGATACTTGAGTACATTTTTTTTTTCAGGAAGATTCAATCAATGAGACTCTTGTGACTCAGGCTCCTCATTTCGGTCAATAAGAGAAGAGTGAAGTGTTTTTTAAATGGTGGTCTAATCATACAAAGTAAATGATCCAGTCACGCGGCCTGTGGCAACTTCATAATGCATGTTTTACAAGCACATATGCTGCTCATCGAATGGCCTCCGCCAAGCATACATTAATCCATACTCACGATCACTGCAGTGTTTGGTTTATTTATCAGAGTTGTGAAGCAGATCAATGAAGACAATTTATGTGAAAAGATTTACAGCTGCACGCTCATTTTTTTTCCCAACACTGATCAATTTGGTCCACAGGACGCATCAGCGACACCTACGCCGTCTGGATCCCTGGTAAATGATTTGAACTAGTTTTAAAGTAATTGTTGTGTCTTGTGTCACTGTAGGATTAGACCGTGACATAACATCCCAGGGTTACGAATGGCCTCCGCCAAGCATACATTAATCCATACTCACGATCACTGCAGTGTTTGGTTTATTTATCAGAGTTGTGAAGCAGATCAATGAAGACAATTTATGTGAAAAGATTTACAGCTGCACGCTCATTTTTTTTCCCAACACTGATCAATTTGGTCCACAGGACGCATCAGCGACACCTACGCCGTCTGGATCCCTGGTAAATGATTTGAACTAGTTTTAAAGTAATTGTTGTGTCTTGTGTCACTGTAGGATTAGATCGTGACATAACATCCCAGGGTTACCTTGGCCCTGTCCTGTCCCTACACACACACACACACACAGAGAGAGAGACAGAGGAGAGCGTTGAGCCTCAGCCGGCCGACATCAGGAAACAGGCCGGTGGACAGACGTGCGCTCTGTCTCCACACAATTGTCATATCTCCACAGATGAGATAACGTCTCTCCCTTCTTTTGTCAAGATGAGCAGCAGAGAAGCTGCATCCTGTCACTGTGGCTGACTGATAGGCCCCGCTTTTGTAATGGGCCAGAGAGAGGGTCTCTGTGTGTGTGCCGCAAGGTGGGAGTGGTCAGCGACAGGACAGGAATGCACTCAGTGCTGAGGAGCTCACAGCAGTGAATGCATTGTTATCCTCACTCACTGTTTTAATAGGTGGGAGGGGTGGTGGTCTGTGAGGACCAGAGCAGTGAGAGAGTGGGCTGGGGGGTTGGGGTAATTTGGCCTTGTGGGGTGAGGAGTGGGTAATGGGGGAGTGGTAATTAAGGCCACATTGACACTTTGATCTCCTTGATTGTGCATTTGACTAGGCTGGAGATCAACTAGTCACAACAGTGCCCCCCACCACCACCACCCTAGAACCTCCCGCCCACCAGAGGGGATCAGTTACCTCGCAGAATGTTGCTAAGTTGGCCCTAGACTTTAGGATGGCAGGAAATGAGGACAGTTTACAGTTAAAATAAGCACTGATCTGAAAAGTCATTTACTGAGATTAAAAAAAAAATAGAAATCTTAAAAAATAAAATAAAAAGTATTTTAAAATATATATTTTTTATAAATTCTATATATATCTATATATAAAATTATTTATATATAAAACCTGTGAACATTTGCGTAACAACATACTTTAATAATTCTTTATTGTTACTCAAAAAAAAAAGAATTTCAATTAATACTAATTTATCTGCTACAACTGTAATTTTTATCCGTGGCCTGATTTTCTGATTGAGTAACGAGACTCGGACGTCACTGCCATTATTCCTGCTCGACCGAAGCCTCAACATTTATCTTTTTCAAACAGCATGAAGAAGCTCTGGCTCTCTGTTACATGCTCTCTCTCCCTCTCTCTCTTCTCTGCAGACAGAGATGATAGTCTGGGGATAGTGACCTATTTTTAAAGGCCCTCAAATAATCATGACCCATTAGTGACCACTGTGTCCATCATCTTTGCAATCTGATATTTCAAAGAAATCCGAAAGAAGATGTACAATTCACTCTTATTCGCCACAACGGACGAGTTGCCATAAAATGAATGATTACAAGGTAGATGAACCACTTCAATCCTAACATGTCTGGAAAAAACAACCGTGCGTCATCAAATTAAATACAGAATTCTCACAGTAATGTAGATCTATAACTAAAATGATTTACGTAGGATATATTTCGAAATGTGAAAAAAAATTAAATAATGTAACAAAATATTAAATGTGAAAAGTATTTTCCATTTAATATTATTATTTACTGAGATCATTATTTATTTGTCTGAATTAATATTTTTTAAAAATCTGATCATTTTGAGCAAAAGGAAAATTTACAATTTAAAAATATCTTGTTTGTTTAATTTAGAATGTATAAAATAAATTAAAAATATATTATTTATTTAAAATGATGTATTGTTGTAAGACAACGTAACATAAGACGTGTTTAAATTCTAATGATAATTTGAATATGACTAAATAATGAAAAAATATTACAGAAACCATTTTTATTATACTCGCTCAAAAATTAAAATTCCAGTTAAATTAAATAAACTATAAACTGAACTTATTTAACTGACAATAGAAGAAATAAACGTTTACTCAAGTGCAAACAATCTGTTGTTAATGACTTGTATCGTTTTCCTTTGTTATGCTGCCATCTCGTGGTTACAGAAAGATATACAGGTAGTGAGAATAAAACAGCACAAATCCATAGTGATGAACTCATCAAATCTCACAATAAAAGAGGCAAAAACACTCAAGAAAGTCTTACCTGTGGAGAAAAAAGCGCATTGTTAAGAAGATTAGAAGTGCTCACCTGTTTGATAGGTATGGCCCTTCCACTGCCTATGCTGTCTGTTTTACTGTCAACGCTCTTTGCCTGTTCACTGGCTTTCCGAGACTGCAAGAAAACAAGAAAGTCAGTTAACAACTGAAGCGACACACACATGACAAGACAGAGTGGGAGCTGGGCAGTGGGGAGAGGGGTTTGGATGGTGTTATGTTCAGTATGCTGAGGTGTGTGTGGGTGGGTGCATGAGTGTGTGGAAGTACAAGAACAAGAGAGTGGGGGTCAGGAGTGAGGTGTGCTGATGTGTGCGTTTGTTTGTGGAGAACTCGACGTTTGCAAATTAAAATTCTCAAAAGAAGCTCAAAAGGAACAGACAAGCAGACCAGCGGAACATACAGCAGTAACATTGACGTGCAAGTTTCAAAAAGAAAAGAAAAAGAAAAAATACAAAAGAGACCAAACCAAGACCACACTGGACACATTTCAACACAGAGGAGACCAAGGACGACCACACATTGAGTCATGACTCAGCCCTGAAACCCTTTGGAGGAGAGGATCCTTCTCTCTGTGACCCAGAGTGGGCCCTGAGTGGACCTGCAGACCCACTGCTGCTACAAACAGTTTCATCACCTCCCTGTCTAAACCACAGTTGCACTAATAATCCACTTATTTTGCATGGCACACATGTTGAAACTCATAACAAGTTATGGGAGAGAAAGCAAAAATCATTATGTTATTTAAAAAAAACAAAAAAACATCTGGACATGTTGGTTCCTCTGACGTCTGACCTGCAAAACCAGTTCAAATGAATCATCAAAAAGGAAACAATGTTGTTAGAAAACAGTTCAATAAATACGTCAGTTTGACTTGACACCTGTGGAATAAAGTTCATTAGACATCAGACCTTGGAAGGAAAACAACAGGCATTTCAAAGATAAACATTCCCACCCCGACACACAGAGAGATGAAGTACAGGCAGAGACAGACATGAGTGTGTATGGTCTCACTCAGAACATGAGAGATGTCCAGTCATCGATGGAGAGGAGGTAGACTCTGAGTTCAAGTAAAGCAACTCTGCTTGTTGTTATTTTTCCAACATTTTATTTTTTAATGATGACTTGTTTTAGCTTCTATACAGACACCATACAAAGCAAGTCACAAGTTCACTTCAAAATATTCAACAGATTGACCCAAACATTGCAGTTCCCACAAAATATAGGATGGACAATAAAGGCATTATTTCATATACTCCTTATATGCATGTACTTTGTATAGAGTACCATTGTAAATAAAATACAATACAAGATATACAGCAGTCTATATTTTCCCTTCATGATAGAAAAATGCAAGAGGTTGTAATCTCTGTACCCAACCAAAAAAAAGGAAATCAAATGAAATGTTAAAAAAAAGTGTCTGAAAAGTTAAATAATTTAAATAAATAAATAAATAAATAAAAGGAAAACAAATATTGACTTTGACTACATTCATACAAGTCGGTGCAAACCAGTTTCATTTGATGGCCACTTGCAATAAATATCTCTGCTCATGTATAAACTCTGATAGACTACCCAAATATTTTTATGAAGGCCTTCATAAACTCTCTTTAAACTAGAATACCTCTATGATAGACACATTTATACCACAGTTTCCATTCAGTACGTTAAATACTCTCTGCAAAGTAGGAATAGAATGAAAACCAAACGGTAAGAAGAAGAAGAAGAAGAAAGAAAACAAAAGCCCAGACCCAAACGAAGGTAGAAAAATCTTAAAAGGAAGAAGAAAAGAACAACTTGGCACCTCTAGTCCTTGAGTCCTCATTTATGGCAAAAAGGCAGTTTGATGTCATGTAAGGAACGTTTGTGTCCGTTTGGCGGTTGGGATAACAGTTCCAAGAGTGACTTGACTGTACAGTGTGTGTGTTTGTGTGGGATGTCTAAGTGAGAGTAAGGATCGCGGGGAGGAAGAGGGATGAACGGGGCATTTCCAGAAGAGTCCCTACAGTCTGTTTGTGGTTTTTTTTTTCTTTGTTTTTTTTTTTTTTTTGCAACTCACACAGACTCAAATTTAGTCCTACCGATTCCATACAGTGCACGCCCTACGCATTACCCTAAATGCAAAAAAACGCAGCAAGGGTAAAGCAGTGACAGGCTTTAACTCCTCTCTATCAGGATTGGCAAAGCAGGGGGACTCTTTTGTTTTTAACCAGCATGCTCTTCTAATTCGGAGAGAGTTGGAAAGCCCTTTTTGTTGAAGAAAGGTTGGAAACAGAAGCACAAATCTGCAAATATTGAAAAACAGTGTCAAATGGTTAATTGTTTTAATTTTTTTTTTTTTTTCTGTTTTCGTTTTGTGTCATATCTGGAGATCCAGCAACAAATGCAATAATTCAATGACATGGAGTTGAAAAACAGGAAATGTTGAACATAAATAAATGGGTTTATTATCGTTATAAAGGAATGGGATGGCGTTAAGTATAAAAATGTCAGAGTAAGTCTGTGCTTTTTCAACACAAAAAGGGACAGACAGCCTGAAGATGTCCAAAAGACCAGGGACAAACCCACAAAAACAAGATCAGTTTTTGACCATGGAAGCACTAGGAAAGAATGATGTTTTTACTGACAACTAGTGGTCAAAGACAGATATGGCGAGTAGTGACTTGAAATGATGGTTCGGTAAACTTGACTTGTTAAAGACGGCGACAGGACGAGGTGAGGACATAAACTTCTGCAGTAAAGCTTTGAGTTATAATAAGATACTTAAAAAACGATTTTACAGTAAAGAGTTCGAGTTAAATATTTTTTCATGGTTTTGTGTAAGAACACAGTTGGGCCGAGGATGTGTTTGGATTTTTCCTTTTCTTCCGATGAACTAGATTTGTAATAAATCTTTTTTTCTTTTTTTTTTTCTTTTTAATTCAAGAGTCCCAATGCCAGTGCCGTGGAGATGAAACATTTTACTGTATGTGTTTCTGTAACCTGGACTTTTTCCCCTGTTAATAAGCATCACCACCACCAACCACTCTGAGTGTGAAAACTAAAACTAAGAGTCTGTTCCTGATTCTCCAAAGCTTATCTGATGACATTAAGGCAGTTTTCCCTTCACTGAGCTTTCTCTGAACTGAATCTCCCAAAATCCACAGACTGAACTTCTCACAGGAGTTTGGCCAGAAAACATGGATGGCTACTGGCAAGCTGTCAGCAGGACTTAAATGGGAACTTTTTTTAAAAAAGTTTTTTAACACAAAGGTGAGCACGTGTCGGTGGAAAGAAAGTTCTCGTTCTGATGGAACTCTTTTTCACGTTGTTATTTTGAAAATAAATAAAATAGTGACATTGTAAGTCTTCTTCTCTTCAAGTGTCACTGAGAACAACCTCCATCCCCCTTTTTCCTCCTCCTCCTCCTCCTCAGCTTCCGCCTGCTTCCTCCTCCCTCACCCACCCTTGCTCCCACCCTGGGCTTGTTGATCCTCAGAAGGTCATGAGCTGAAACTCCCGCTCGGCTTGCCAATCCGGCACCCACACAGGGTAGGTGGCGTGCTTCGGCATCTCCATGATGCGGACGGGGAGAGGCTCATTTCTCTGGTGGACATGGTTAGTCACTACCTAGCGGGGGGGAAGGGAGACAACAAGGGGAACTAGCACAAGGCCGGTACTGCTCCGAGGCCGCAAAGGCTGCGGCTCCCACAGCAGCAAGGGTGACAGGGTGAAGGCGGTAGGAAACAAAGGGGCGAAGAGAAAATGGATGAGGAGGTTGGAAGGAGTGGGTAAGAGAGAAATGAGGAGAAGGCCGAGAGTCAGAGAAGGGGGAAATTTGAAGGGAGGACGAGGACAGGTGGAGGGATATTTAAAGGTAGGGACCAAATGTGATTAGCAGTAAGGAGTTAGGCTTGGACTCGGCCTCATGAAGCTAAAACAAGCTCTGAGGAGCGTCAATAAATAATGTGGAAAGTGCGGCTCAACTTAACTTCCAGAAAAAGAAACAGGTTTTGTCTTTTTAATTTTTTTACATACCAAAAACTCCGTGAAAGGATGATTAAAACAACCAACTATCTTGTCAGAGGTAGGATTGTTACAGACTTCTTTGAGCTTGGAGAGGCCGAGGCCGAGGCCTGGCTCTGTGAGACTGGAGAAAATTCAGGAGGTGTGTGAGAGAGAAGAGAAAGGAGGAAAGAGGGAAGCAGACTGGGTAAAAGAAGAGGGCAGAAGCTCCAAATAAAAGACAAGCTTAAGAAGTTAGAGTGGTTAGTGCACACAAATGCCTCTGGTTAGAGCAAAGGGAAAATACATCAGGGGCGTGGGGTCAAGAACGGGCAGGTAGACAAGGGTCGGGGTCACCGATTTGGTAGTAAACCTTACTGGTCAATAGGGGAAAAATGTGGGCCAGAATAGAAGAAGATTTTTTTTTTGGAGTTGGAGTGTTTTACTATATGACAGAGCCAAGAAAACTTTCAGTGAAGCTTGTTCAAAAATGATTTTGTTGTTGCCATTTCTCCAGATAAGAAGAAGAAGAAGAAGTCAATACCACAGGAAAATTCTCTACTACAAATGAATGAAGGTAAAAAATAAATAAGGAGAGTCACAGATTTGGAAAGGCTGATGCAAAATGTGAAGTTTCTACGTCCAATTAAAAAAAAGAAAAAAAGTGAAAAGAAAGGATGTGTTTTCCACAGTGTTCTTATATTTCATAGTTTCTCAGGGTTGGGGGAAGAATTTGGGGAAATGTCGTGTTTCCTATTTAGTCTTTTTTTTCTTTTTTTTTTTCACCTTTGCCCATAGTGCTGTGAGAACGAGGCGCTTTCATTACCTGCAGTGGAAGCAGGAGAGGCGGCTGTGATGCATTTCAAGCTACCTGTTTCCCTCTGGTGGACAAAGTGTGCTTTGGCAAACATGCCTTCTAGTAGTGTGAGTGGGTGTTGCTTTGCATCAGCTGTCGCATACTTACTGTGAAAATGTTGGAACGGCGCTTGGACTGCTTGCGGATGGGCGTGGGCGTGTTGGAGGCAGCTATGGTCTCAATGCGCATCTCCCGCTGACTTATGCTGGGGGTGGAGGGAACAGAGGAGGAGTAGTCGCTGAACGCACCCCCACCATTGGCGGCCTGGGGAGTAGGAGAGAATGAGAGGGTCGAACACGAGAACACAGAGCAGAATGGAGGCAGGAGGAGAGAGAGAGAGAGAGAGAGAGAGAGAGAGAGCAGGGGGGTGTTTGGAAATCAGAGGGGGAGATTTGAAACAACCAACAAGCAGGTTAATTCAGATTGTACCATTAACAACAACAACTACATTAACCAGTCTAATCAAACTAGGACCAAACACAGTGAACATAATGACTGTGTGGAGGACAGTGGTGTCTGAGAGTCCTGCAGGAAACCATCTCACCTGGTTGATGTGGACAGAGGGGATAGACGCAGCAGGGACGGATGAATGGCTGGGGGAGTTAGGGAGGGATTTGCACGGACCAATGGAGAGCTGCTGCTTTTTCCTCATAGCCACGACTTTCTGTGCAACTGCAGAAGAAAAGGGGAGGGGAGGGAGGGGGGCAATTAACAGTTGGTTAATGTGTGAGAAACAATAGCTGTACTTTGGACACTTTCTCAGAGAACCTCTGAACATGCAGCATCTACGGAACCACCCAGTCAGCAGTTTGAAGGATAAACACAACTGATAAGGAAGAAATCTGAATGAATGAGTCACTGTAGGATGTTTGTCTTGTTGTTTTTGTTTTTGTTTTTTTCCAATGGAGTGAAACTTAAAAAAACGGCAAATACTGTTTGAAATTAGAAAAGAATAGTAGTTCATTCAGTGGCGGAAAAACCACTGGACCAGTTGTTCTCAAACTCTGGAAGATGTACCACTAATGGTACTTAGGCGCCCTCTAGTGGTACACTGGTGATTGTGATATCCAACAGGAGTTATTTATTTATAAATACAGCTAGTATATTTTCTCATTTGACATGATGATGTGTGCTCTCAGTGGCAACAAAATAGGCTGACACTTTTATCATAAATAAACTCTCTTTTTTCCACAGACTGTGATGAATGGGCTGAACAGGGATGCCCTGTGCTGCTCTATATTAATGCTGGTCATACAGTTTGTACATAGAGAACCGAACGGTTGATGCAGAGGTGGAACAGAGTGAAACACTGGCTGACTCTAACGGAGATGACAAATACAGCTGCTGCTGCTGCTGCTGCTGCTGAGGGGAAGATTTCAAAACATTCAGCTTAAGAAAAACCTGCAACATTTGAGCTTTTAATAGAAATAACTTTAGTACACAAGTCAGACAATGAGTTAACGGGGTAAATGATAGATAATAAGTGGTTGGTTGTAAAAAATAAAATAATAAATAATTGATAAAAATAAGTTTTAAAAAATAGTCTGCAAGAAATCCTACTTTATTTCCAATGCAGTTCAGGTGAGGAGGTAAGGTTTAAGCTATCATCCAAAAATAAAGGAATTACAGGCTCCACGTCAGAAAGAAATCAATTAAGAAAAAGCTGGAGAAAAGAGGAATCGACTGAAACTCCTAAGGATATTCAACCTGAAACTTGTTTAAAACTACTCTAAATTATTGAAGTCAGTACTCCACTTTTTCCAGTACTTATTAAACCTCTAAGGGGAAATTACTCTGTGCCTGCTAAGCCATTAACACCAGACACACTGGAGCGGCGCGCTGCACTTAAGTAATGTGACAGAGCAGTTTGGGGGCTTGCTTGACAAACGACGGTCTTGTTGGGGCCAGGGTTTTAAACCAGCAATCTTCACATAGTGAACAATCTGTAATTCATTTTGTCCAATTTCATTTTCTACAGATTGATCCTTTGCAGGATGGTGTTACTAACATGTTGGTTACAGCTAGCTGTAGCTGTGAGCACATACAGCGAAGAGTCACTACACCCAGAGAAAAGTACATGTGTACGTGCAGAGTTACAGTGTTTCTACACCGTGTGTGGAAATGAAAGTCATGACTTCAGTCTGCTCACATTCTCACTATTCCTGTTTTCCCTAAAGCGAGCACAGCTCCAGTTCAAGGCTAGAGCCAGATGAGAACATTATCATTTCACCTCAGGCTATTTGTTTTCCAGTCAGGTAGCGAGCAACATACTGCTCCGTGTGGAGACCAAATACTACTTCAACTACCCCAAAAAACAGTTCACAAATGATACGTCCAATTTCCAGTGAGTTCTACAGTATCATTTTAAACCAAACAGATTTTTTTTTTTTTTACTCTTCAACCTCCACATTTCCTCAACGCCATTGAATCATCTGTAATTTAATTCACAGCACAGTCACAGGAGAGACTCGGTGCAGCGGGAGGCACAGGAGGTGATGTTCGTGGCTACGTGACATGAATTAGCAGACAGGTGATTGGAAGTTGTGCCGACAGCTGGGACCATCACGTCGAGGCTGACTGAGGCAGCGGGGCAAAATTACAAAAAGAGGGCAGCTGATGCGGAGCGACGGCTCCAGACAGCCAGCACTCCATCTCTCTTTTAATTACTTCAAATTGGGCTTCAGGAAGCAATTAGGACAGAGAGGGAAGACAACACGCCTGTGCAGCAACAGTTGATGTTGTGCACGTTGCATATTCAGATGTTTTGTGAAGGGAGTACGAGTTCTGAGCAGAGCTGCAGCCTTGAGGGCGGTGGGTTCTTTCATCACCTCTGTAACAGATTCAGGGGAAAAACTGAAAGTTTCCACTTTTTCACCAGTCATTAAAAAGTCGTTTTCTGTATTTAAAGGCGACTGAACACTAACTGTTGGCAGATCTGCATCTATGAGCAAACTTACATCACACTGTCAGCTGCCAAATTAACTCAGTGGTGTTTGACAATTAAACTTAATTTAATTTAAATGAATGCACAAGCTGCAGCATTAATTAAACAAGTCTGTAAATGCTCCACGGAGATTTACTGCCAATCACAGCAGCTGAACAAAGAGAATGAATGAATGAATTAATGCACGTCTACGTCAGAGCTTTAGTTGAGCTGAGCATTTATGGACAGTTACTGTATAGTAGCCTCTGTGAACAGCATGAATGATAAAAATTATGATCAAAATTTAATTTTCATTTCATTTTATTCGCGTGTCTAGAAAAACTCTGGCCCTCTGGTTCTTTTAAAAGGAGACATGATCAATGTCTTAGATCCTGATAGAAAGCCCATAATTCAACATATGTTCTGTTTTAAGTAATATAATATTCTTATACCTAATTCACCAATAACACAGTGAAATAAATAAAAACTTCTACTTAACTTTACAGAATAAATAAAATAACATTTCCATCCCACTCTTTTCCCATTTATCTATTCCTCCGCCTCACCGTCCTGGAAGACTCTCTCCACGTTCAGGCCGTAGGTGGAGCAGGTCTCGTAGTACGTGCAGCGCTTCAGGTCATTTGACAACTTTCTGGCCCTTGAGTCATCGATCACTCTGGGGTTGGCAGCACTGATCGCATCTGAGAGAACAGTGGGAACAAATTACTAAACTTAAATGAGAAGAATTTTAGATTATTATCATTATTATCTACACAGCTTGACTTCACATAACCCAACTAGAGTTGGCGAAGACAAACACCTTGTGTTCCGACCAGGACCATGGGGACCTCAGCTGTGTTCCTGTAGCTGTTGAGACGCAGAAAGTAATTGTAGACCGTCTGGAAGCTGATCTCATCCTCCAGGCTGAAGACGAAGACCACCGCGTCCACCCAGGCGGCAAACTGAGGACAGAGTAGCACAGGGAGGTTGGGTGGTGACAGAACAGAGCAGAGGTTCTGGCAAATTGGAACAGCTGTGTGGAAAATTTAATGATGTAAAAACCTAAAAACTTCAACATCAGCATAAACAGAAACAGAACAACTCACTGTCAAGTCTGTTTTTGCAGAATATTTTCTCTGGAACTGATGATCATTTCAGTTCACATGTATGGACAGAGGGGGGCAGTGTAGCCACACTAATGCTAGCAGCCTGTTTTTGCTCCCTCCAGGTGAGTTGATGGTGAATGATTAAACACTGCTCCTCCAGCCTTATCTGTTTTCTGTATTTCCCACTGCTCTTATAATCCTGGAATCTTCGTATTTGCTGCGTCACAGGCATCAACTCCGCACAAACTTTACGACCAAATGGCGGCGCCGCGTCTCCCCTGGGCGGAGGAAATCAATCTCAATCACCTTCCATTGTAAAGGGGAGTCTAACGGAGCCCAGAGTGATACAAGGAGTGACAGTCAGGTGGTAACTATCACCCTGTATCTGCTGCTATTTCATCCTGCATTCACACCGTACTCTGACCAACAAGGGGAATAAAGGGACAAATCAAGCCTAACAGCAACTGGGCTCGGCCTCCTGTGAGTGGGAACATAATGGAGGCCTTTAATTATGCCACTAATGATACAGCAGCCCGACAACTGAGCTGAAACCACGTCTATTCCCCGATCACACTGAGCAAACTAATGCAAGCGTAAATCTTAGCTCTCGCCGACCCAGGCGTCTGCAGCTACTGTGATAGATTCACGCTGGAATCACATGTGACACCAAACAGTAAATCATGTGAATGAAACCTCCTGCTGGTCGAGACGTCTTCCCCAGGACTGACGTCTTAATGAATCCTTATCGAATTAATTTAGCTTTACATTTACACGCTCTATTTTAGCTGATTACACTGCTTATTTAATGAGTGCTGGGGTAAATTACATATTGTACATTGTAGTCCGTTCATGAAAAAATACTAGAGGAGATAAAAGCCTTCTGGTTATCTCATGGATGGAAATAGCCTTTAGTTAAACCTGGATTAAGTGGTTTTCTTTGGCACCACAGTTTTATAGCAACAGTAAGTCGGCAGCTGGTCACTGTTGACCACGTAGATGTGAAAACTGTTATTTTGATGAGTAAATCATGAGGTACATGTTCTACAAAATGTAGGGTCAGTAACAAACCACAAAATGACCGTCAGCTCATTTCCATTTCACCCGAGATGCTGAATATACACGGCTAGTTTCAAGTCTAAAAGTAATTCAAACTGGAGAGTTTGAAAGGTTGAGTTTGTGCGTTCAGCCCGAACAGTAAAGTGAAATAATAAATCACCATCTATGGAGGACTACTGCGGAGTACTTTTACAGGGTCACGGGGGGTGAAGGGAGAAGGAGAGGAGGCTAAGGCCAATCCCAGCATTCACAGTACTCCCTGGTCAGTTTGTACATCAATCACAGCGTAACTGAAATACACATTCATACCTATGATCAAGTCAGTGTACAGAGTACCTGGAGAACCCAAGTTTACACATAACACACACACACACACACAGGGAAGCTGGAATCAAACCTGTGACATTCAAGCTGTAAGGCAAGACCACTAACCCCCTCCATGTGTCAACAATAGAATTATTTGATTTAAATAAATAAATAAAAACATCATAAAACACCGTCTCAACACGTAATCAGCAGGATCAGACTGGGGGTGAAATTCCATCTTTACAAACGAAGCGCGGTCCACGTACTGATAGGACAATTATGTGCTGCATTGTTCCTTTCAAAGGGAAAATGATTTTGGCTCAGCGTCGCTTATTGATCTGTTGCTGCCTCTTTCAAAGTGCGTTGGGCCGGAAAATCACAGAGTGTGGTTCACACTGCTGCAGACGCTCCTGCAGAGCAGCGTCGGTCTGTTGCCCAGCGTGTTCCCATCAGCACCGGAGTCTGTCGAGAGTCTCTGATTGACAACGTTTGAAGCATCACTCATACCTGTTCTCTGATTGACAACGTTTGAAGCATCAAAGAAAGACCTTGTCGGGGACAAACACTCATACCTGCAATTCTGGAGGACCTCCTTCGTCTCGGATCAAGAGAAGGTAGCTCTGTCCGTCCACAACAATTTCTTTCTTGAAGCGTCCGCCTGAGAAGACATTTGCAGCAGAGGTTTACTTCAAGGTCAGCAGCATGTTATCATTAAAAAAATAAATAAAATTGTGAAGTAAAAAAAAAATCCCAGACTCTTTGTAAAGAATTAGTCAAAATAAACCAAACTCAGATGTAATAGCACAGGTCGATTGAATTGTAAAGTTTGGCGATTAGTGCGTGAGTGTAAAACGCAGTTGCTTGATTTAGACCCACTCACTGTGTTGCTGGTATTATCACACACTGACAGCAAACCAGGTCTCACTGGGGCCAATTATGTGGGCGAGAAATTGTCGTTTAGCATGTCTAATGCACAGCTGCTGGGGAGACAGCTCCGTGCCAACGTCTCCACACTGCCACCAGTCCAGGAAAAAGCCCAGTTTCACTTTAATGATAAGACAACGGCAACATATCCAACACTGAGACTAAAAGTGCGAGGAGGAAAAGTGGAATATAAAAAATCAGAGGCAGAAAATTCATTTTCTGCTGCGCCTCAGGTCACGCGTGTCCTCAGGATGATACTGAGGAAGTGGCAGAGTCACTGGAGGCAGATGCTGTGGAACCGTATGGTTTTTCTTTCCCTTAATGTTTTTTCGATTCCAGAATTCACATTCTCAGCCGTTAGCAAATCTGCCCGCAGATAAAGAAGAGACGAGTGTGTGTACTGCAGTGGCCTAACTAGACTCTGTTGGTCTACATGCCTATGTGTCCTTGGTTAAGACCTGAACCTAAAGTTGATCCTGTTAGCTAGGAAGTAAACAAGTGATAACATTCCTTTTAAACATGAAACCGGTGCAACAAGATATGTAACTTGTCTCAAAGAGCAAAATATGGCAACAAAAACTTGGTTTTTGGAGATGAAAAAAAATATGAAAAAAATCAGCATGAATTTATTTTTATAAATACTTGAAAAGTGAATATCAATGAAGGATAGTAGTTCTTTATACTGTGAAAATATCACAGTATAAATAGATTTAATAAGTGAAGGTGCACGTGTCACATATGACAACTAAAAACAACAAGTAATTAATGAATGGCTTCAATAGTCTAAAAAATAAAACAGAAATTATTAACGACTATAAAAAGAATCCTCTCAGGAAAATACAAAAACCTTGCCATAAACTATTACATAATAACCATTAAGTCTTTGTGAGATGCTCACTTAATTTACAAAAAAAAAAAAACTGCCGCCCTTTTCTTCTAGTCATTATATATTTTCTCAATATATATAACATTTTGTAAGAAAACGATTTAATAATTTAAAAAAGCCTAATTCTGGGCTCATTAAAAACCTGAACTTAAAAGAGTTCGATGTCAGGAGCAAATGAAACACCTGTTGCTGTTTTACAGAAATTTAAATAGGCAAACATGGCGGTTGGAACCATGACAGGACTCCATAATGAGAACCTGCTCATTACACTGCGTAAACCAGCGTATAAAAAGCACAGATCTCACATAAAAAAACAGCTGTGGGGCCAAAACAGTCCCTTTTAACGGGCAGAAAGATATTCAGTCAGATTCAGAGTAGAACATGTCCACTTGAGCCACACATGTACTGCATTAACTCTGCTTCAGTCGAAGAATCTACAGCTTTTAGCACAGGCTCTCAAGTCATCGTGGATGTTGATTGTATAACTGAGAAAGAGAGGGAGAGAGACAGACAGAGATAGAGAGAGAGATGATGACATCACCGCCTCTTCTCCTTCACTAAACCCAGGGCTTCTGAGACTGAGACTCAGGACTTAGGAAACTCTTGGTCTATATGTCGCTAAATCCTGCTTAAAAAGTGAGAAGAGACGAACAAGAAATTACACAGTTTGTGTGTGACCAGGAAAACACACTTATCACAGAGACCTGCATCACAGCTGTGAGTGTGTAGAGTTTATATGTTGGAGCAGATTATGGGGAGACTGTGTGTGTGTGAGTGTGTGTAACCAGTGTCTGTACAGCCATGGAATGTGAAGTAAACATCTTTGTTATGTAATCTGTCAGGACGGTGTTGTCTTAATTTAGAGACGCAGCAGAGCAACGAATGTTAAAAAAAAAGTCAAATGAAGATGGAATCTAATTACGAAGCCCCCACGTGTGTTGTCGAGGCTCAGCGGAGTAGAAGAAGACACCGCTGGTCCTGCAGACGGCCCACAGAGAGACAGTAAGTCGGTGGGCATCGTCGACCGCGCAGCAAAGCACACACTGCTTATGAAGAGACTCAGACCTTGACACTGAGCCATAGTCTGACAGAGCTCCATCCGGTGTTGCCATGGCAACACACCCTGGTACCTTTTTTTTTTCAGATATTATAGCAAAAGGAACAGGAACAAAACACTGAATATCTCAGCTGTGCCTGAACCTTCCTCCGCTGGGCAAAATGTACATACGCGATCTGAGGAAAAGTCAGCGCTAAGACACGAAATACACAGGAAACAGGACGGAGGTAAATGGGCAGAAGTGGTGAAACGGTTAGGTTGTACCAGGGCATCAAAATACAATCTGAAGAAGCATGTTTTTGTGTGTGTTTCTTTTCTTGGATCTCCTTGATTACAACTGCAAAAATCAGCTTCACATTTCCAGCATTGATTTTTCAAGGACTAATTAAAGCTGTGATGATTTTCCTTCTTTGGTGAAGCGAAATGCCAAAAACTAATTATGCACTTCACGTCTCATCCACACTGTAATTACACAGAAATGAAATGCTGCAGACACACTCAACATTCTTCAGCTACCTCAGAGTTTGCCAACATCTTTATGAGTTTCTATGCAGAGGACGTTCACTTTCAGACTTTGTCATTTTAACATTATCTTCTTTTTGATGGTAAAAATCCCTCACGTACTTGTGTAACGGGCTCATTTCCTGTCACCACAAGATCAGGATATAAGAAAATGTTATTCTTTAATGATATGATTATTTACATGTATTTATCAATTTACTGATTACATGAAGCTCACTCATTATACAGACAGTGCAATTATTTTATAATTTTTATAACCTGTCCAGAGACTGTGAGGATGAACTGATGGGATGCAGGAGATTTTTTTTTTAATTTAAATTTATTTTATTTATTTAATTCTAATTCATCCTATGGTGCACAGATGGAACAGTCTTGATCTTGATGGTTCTGGTATACAATAATCACCCCAGATGACAAATCACTTTTCAGAAAAGTGGTTACACTTTCCAAAAATGCAATAACAACAAACAAACGAAATATTGTAATTTGGTAACGCTCTTTGGTAATTAGATTTCTTCATCAGGACAAAATGGATTTCATTGTTTTTAATCTGTCAACGAAATTTTGTTTGTCAAAAATAAACTTGATTAGAATTTGACAAAAAGCAGGTGCCGTTAACATCCTCTGTTCTTTATATCAAACTTTCTCATATATATATAAATGAAATAGCTAAGAAACTATAATTGTATATATATTACTTTATTTATTTATTTCAGTAGATCAAGTCAATTATCGAACTGAAGCTTCTAATTGCTATTAAACAGCCTGATCGTTATATAAAAGTCAGGTTCCTAATTAGAAAGATGTGACTCTCCTGTGAAGGGGTTAAAACCGGGGGCAACATGCTCGTCTTTTTTAATTAAAACACTGAACTGGCGTCTCTGGGCTACCACGAGGCTCACTTCTCTCATCAACATTCGTGTGTTTTATAAAACACGCTGACATGATGTTCAGTTTGCTGCAGCCAAAGTCCACACGCTGCATCAGCAGGGACCGTGATGTTGGTGACAAACTCCTGACCCACTCAACATGTTCTTACCTTCAGGAGACTCCTCCTGCACATATGTGCCTGTCAAGTACCGGTGCACCAAGGCAGACTTCCCACTGGACAGATTTCCCACAATGCCCTGCAGAACCAAAAGCAAAATTAGTTGATGATCACTTCAACCACAAAGTACAACCAAATCTCAGCCTAATGCATTTCTGAAGTCACACAGTGTGTCTTAAAAACAATTTTGGCCACTTTTGTGAGAATGTCCCTTCCACTTCTCGGACCTCAAGATTACAGAAAATTGTACCCTTGTTCACTGACATGACCCCTTTCTGCTGGTTAAACTCGTGTCTTCATGAAGTCACTTTACTTGAACACACCATGAAGTCCAGCATGAAGTCAAGTACATAGATCAAATTGCTTTTTCTTTTTTTTTTAACTGTAAGAAAGAGGAAATCTTGTTTAATATGTTTGTTGCAGGTGTCAGGTTTATGAATTATTATTATTATGTTCTTAAATGTATCCTAAATCACTGTTATGTTTATAGTCTGGGTTCTTCGAGCTGTACTCCTCTACATCTGTGCTCCTCTAGAGTCTGTTTTCAAATCACCACGACAATAAAAATAATTTCTGCCTGTACGTTTGCCTACAGTGAGGTGCTCTGCTTTCGATCTGGTTTGTGGTCATGAAATAAAAGAATAAAAGGGATGGATTGGTCTGCGCAGGCTGTTTGAGGTTTGAGCCTAATGAGAAAAGTCTTCAGCGACCATCGATTCAGTTGCAACTGGACTCCTGTCCCCAGAGTCCAGGCCAGACCTGGAACTCCAGCAGTTCCTTTAGGTTGATGCATTAGAGGCTGTGCTGATGATGCCAGCCTGTCTGG